GTAACTAAAGGCTGTATTAATTCATTTTCTCTTTATTGTGGCAAAATAACTAACAAAAAGAACTCAAGGAAGAAAGTATCTCTTTTGTCTCCCCATTCGGGAACTCAGTCCCTCTTGACCAGGAAGGCGTGCTGTCAACTGAGAAGGACTGGAAAATGTTAAGTCTGCAGTCGGGAAGCAGAGGAAGATGAATTCTGGTATGCAGCTTGTTTTCTTCCTATATTCTACTCCAGAGCCTTAGCCCATGCCTTGGTATCGCCCACATTCAAGGTGGGTCTTGTCTATTCAGTGTAACTTTTTTGGAAGCACCCTCATAGACAACCCCTGAAGTGTATTTCCATGGTGACTGGAAATCCATCAAGAGCAACCGTCACACAGACCTTACACGAGTTCCTCTTTTATAAATGTGTGCCTGGCAAGGGATAAGATTTGAGCCAAATTCTATGCTTTCCATTCATTGTTCTAGGGCGATTCAAGAAGCAGAACTGGCTGATGCCATGTGTTCATGATTATGGACAAAGTAAAAAGCATTTGTGGTAGCTGGCTTTCAAGTGTCCCCCCGCTGAACTTTGCAATCTGGTGTTTATATCCTTGTACTAGCTTTTTCCACATTAATTGAATCTAGCATGTATATTAGAATAATGCAAAAATGATGAAAAGAGCTGTTAAAAAAGACATCATGACCCCCAACGTCTTCTCCCCTAAACAGCTCACTCTGGAGTAGCCATTATCGTGTTTTAAAAATATTCAACTAACCCTCAAGAAACCCATTGGGAAGAAACTTAGAACCAAAACGACAACTCAAATTTAAAAAATAGCCATTTTGGAAATAGGCAATGTCTGATGGATCTTCAGGTGAGGATCACTAAAATCTCATGAGGACCCTGAGGCAGACGACCCCATAAGCCACTGAAGTCTCAATGGACCTACAGACACTGCCAGACAATAGATGCTCATTGCTTTAATCGCAGGCTAACTTTCTGAATACAAGTAGCTAAAAAGTGGAGAATTTGCAAACTTCTACATGCTGCCCACTGAATCATAGTTTGGCAAGTCAATGGGTCAGAAACTTTCTCCTAAGAAACATTCGCGTTTTTATGTCTGAAAGAAAGAGTCTGAAGAAATGGGCACTCAAGATCCCTCCTGGTAGGAGAGTTTGGGAGACAAGAGGATATGAGCCAGATCACCCATAGCTGCCTGGGATTCCCATTTTGTCAAGTAGATAACTAAGCACAATTTATTGATCACTCACAACCCTTTCTATTGTTCAGCCACCAACTGCTGGGAAAATTGAGAAAAAGAAAAGAATTGATTGTGCTTTCAGGTACTGGGTGATTCTGTCGAGAGCTGGTCAGCATCGGTGGAATCAATGGCCATTACTGGAATGCCAACAGCAGTTAGCTGTATAGAACTCCATGGCAGTCAATTTCAAAGTTTATACTGATTTCCAACATGAACGATTGCTGTGAAGTCTGAACCCAGGCAGTGTTTGATTGCTGTGCCTGGCATAGCAGGGGTCTTTCTTCTGCCCATGTTTCACCTGAGCCACAGGAGAGACACACTCCAGGCTTGGAGAAATTCTGTGACTGAAGTCAGCTTGGCCTTTTGGGTAGTTCTCCCTGCACTGTGCAGGTGCTTACATCCTGCCTGGTCAGTGGGAACAGGGAGCCCATGCTACAAAAACTAAACGGAGCCTCTTGGGAAGCTGAACTCACTTTCAGTACAGGAAGGTCGGCATTTGGTGAGGAAGGAATATATGTTGCACATTTTCTGACATATTTCTTAGATTTTTTTTTTCTGAAAGATCAACAAGTTGACCTTAGAAAAAATGCTGGGCATCAAGGAGTGTACAGATGAATGGCAGAAGTGAGTGGATGTAAAAAAAAAAAAAAAAAAAAAAAAAACCAAACAAAATAACCAACATACTGGTTCACTAAAGTTGCCCAGTCAGAAGCCCTTTCCTTTGACCTTTGGGTATATCTATGGTACCTCTCCCCTTATCCTCAGGATCTTCCAGAAGTGGGAAGGTTGAGAACATTTGACAACAGGAGCCCTGCTGTGATATTTACCTCCGCTAAGCCTCTGGGACTTGCCACAAGAATACATGCTTAAGTCGTGATTCTCTGCCCTCACTTCCTGTCAGAGCAGTCCTCCATGTCTCCAGAGATATGAAAATCGGCCTTAACATGAGGCCTTTGTGTGATAACCCAGAGCTGTACAACTGTACAATCAAATTAATTGGACCCATCCATGAGGTAATGCGTGTTAAATCACAAGAGTTGGAGTGTTGGCTTCATGACGAGCTGCATTCTGACAGAGCAAATGTGGTCATGACTTCAGGAAAATTGGCTGGCACATATTGGTTCAAATTCAATTTGACCCTTCCTCAGCCCACAGTTTAAAACCTGCTTTAAAAGCTGGTTAAACAGTGAAGAGCACTGTGCTAGACTCCTGAAGCCTAAATGGATCAGTTGTAGCCTTCTAGATTATTGCTTCCCCTATTTGGTGTGAGCCTCCGAAAGGAAATTGCCTTACTGTGCTACAACAGCCTGGTACCACAGGTGAGAACTCCATGACAGCAGAAGCTGTGTTTTATTCTTCATGTCTGTCTCATGCCTCAGAGACCCTACCAGTGACCACAAAAGTAAATAATCTCACACACCCACATTCACACAGGTCTTATGTAGGTGAACTCTGAAAGAAAATATATGGGGATGTACTCCACACAAGCAACATGGAAATTAAAGATATATTGTTTGGGGAAGGAGAAATAAGAGAGCCAAGCCATAGAGAATGAAGGAGACTGCCCTGCAAAGGGCTAGAGGTTTATTCTGTTAAAAGTTGTGTATGAGTGTGCAGATAAATTAGGTGGAGAGAATGATGATGGGTGTGCACACTCAATGCAAGTTGAGTCTTGCAGAAAAGCTGTAAACAAAAACACTCTGTATAGCTGTGGTATGCACATAATTCGATTTAAATGAGCAAGAAAGGAGAAAGTGCGTCCATTGCTGGTACTGTGAGAAAGCACCAAGTTGGGGCACTCCCCAGCAGACACTGGGAGTTCCCCATCAGTCACAAAGGACTTCTTTGACCAAAGCTGTGCCCACCTGTTCCCTGGAGGCAACTCAACTGCAAAAACTGATCCACTTGGGGTCCAAAGCTCTGGACGTGGCTTCTCCTTAAAGGACAGCTCCAGAGCTCCCTCTGGCCAGGTCGGCTTCCTTTTCTCTCAGCTAAGTCTGTTTCTTGGGAAATGAAAGCCAAGTGTGAGGATAGAGGCTGATGCAGCAAAGAACGAAGATGGGAAGAAATGGCTGTCCTTCCCATATGTCCTTATACTGATTCTCTTATTGAGATATGTATGCATTGTGTCGCCCTTGTAATTTCAAGAGCATCAAGTGAAGAAATTTGAAACGTGATAACCACACGTTAGCTGAATAAATCAGTGACGGTGACTGTGCCTATACCCTGGTAGAGAAGCAAGTAGCGAGGTAGTATGATGCAGGTTGTGGAGTTAGGTCAATTGAGGAGAAGGGGATTTTGCCAACACACAGTAACAGTGACTTAGTTGGTTCAAAAAAGATTAGTCCAGCTCTCCAAGAGTGATGTCACCATGTCATACATGTAGTGATGGGAAGGGGCAACAGGTGGGCAACATAGGAGAGTGAGTTTTAATTCCATGGAAAGAGAGATTGTTTAATATTAGAGCCCTCTACTTCTCCAAGGTGAAAAATTAGGATAGCTGCTATCCAAGATTCACTCCCAAATTACTTGTAGTTCTTCCTTTGGGTGAGCAGCTAGATTCTAATTGGAAGAGAAAAATACCTGCAATGAATATGATCTGTAACCTTTGTCTCTGTTACCAGCAAACCTATCGAGAACCAGTTGTATTCTAATGATGCAGACCCAATCTGCTTGGAGTCCCACTCTCTAGGCAGCCAGAGTATTCTCCAGAGATAGACACATCTGGCCCTTCTAGAAGCAGATGATCTTTACACTTCCTACCCCTCTGGGGTTCTGAGAGGCCCTGCTGGGAAAGGCAAATTCATGCAGGGACAACTTAGAAAAGAAACATAGGCCTTAGCAGAATGCCTGCTCCTTCCTCCTCTGGATTCCAGCCAATTTTTGCAAATGCATCCTCTTTAGGCATCTATAAATGAGATCCCTAAGGCTTAGTGCCCCTTTTGGAGAAGGCTTAGTAGCACTTGTGAGCAGGAAGTCCTTGAAGGCACAATTATCGAACCACCAACTGCATTGACAGAGCCTAAGGAACAATGTAGGGGGAGCCCTGTCCAAGTTCTGCATAGTGCCCTGATTAAAAAGGCTGATAAAGATGCTTACACAGACGCTTCCACTCACAGTAGATGGGCATGCTTTAGGGTGGTGGTGTTTCTAACCAGCGAGGAGTACTCTGCATCTGTTTACTGATTAGTGATTGAGATTTCCTGGGTTAGTATGTTCTTGGACAAGATCCAAATAAAGCAGGAAAGGGACAAAGATTTTGACCCTGAGGAGAGTCTGGAAGGGCCTTGAGAATCTGCAGTAAAATGATGCACCGATAAAGAGACTCTGGTTAATGGTACCTTCATCATGAAGGAATACTCAACATGCTGAAGAAATTAAGGGGATAAAGGGGACTCCAGTTTGCAGAAGCAGTGGGAAGGGAGGCTTCCTGAAGGAGGAGGCAAAAGTTTGCCACCATCAGATTATCTGAGTATGTGCACAGTATGTGCACAACCCTGTGTAAGTTGTTGAATTTGCTATATAAAATATGCTTCTGAAATTATATATTTATCATTTTATCACATGGTTGTAAAACTCAATGCAAAGAATTAATAAAAATAAATAAATGAAACTCTGGAGAGAGAATAACAACTTAATAAGCAACAATTTCATTTCTTGCAGAGAGCTACATGGCTCACCTCTAATTTATTGAAAGGGAAAAAATATAGAGAAACTGAAGTTCTCATTGTAAAGCTATGTGTTCCTTCCTGTTACAGGCGTCTGTATCAGCTCCTTGCTCAGAGGACCGATCTCTTCAGGAGTTAGAATCAAGAGAGAACACCTGAGAGGGCGACATCACGAAGGTACTGTTGCTGTGGGCCTTTCCCTATCCATCATGCCAATGGCCAGTTTAAGGCTTTCAGTAGGAATTGCATATTCCCCGGGACCTGAGACCCTTTGTCACTGAAACAACAGCCTTGGGGATACTCTCCATGATATGAGCTGGCCAACAGCGTCAGCTCCTCTGGGCTTCACACGGTCCCCGAAATCACTCGAGAAACCAGGTACTAAAATTTTGGCTACTCATAAAATAGTACTGAAATGCATTTCATGATGCAGTTGGTAATAAAAATGTCTTACTGAACTCAGTCCCTCCAAGAGGCTAGACTTGATTCTCAGCCCAGCGCTCCTGCACTGGGCCTGCATGAATCAATGCTAAATTATTCACGAGCCTGACTCTAAAAATTCAAAGTTCTGAAACCCCTAATAAAGTATTATGAAAAAATATCCATCTCTTTATCTCTATCCATAACTATTTATACAGCTAGAGGAAAACCTGTCGTTTTATTTCTTTTAATTTAAAAGCTTTCCTAATTCCTTTTCCCTACCACATATATATGTCGGAAAATTTGGGGTTTGAAATAATAGCCTCTGAAAAATGGTCGGCAGGAAAGGCTCCGAGGATTCAGGGTTGACAGGCACAATGAATATTTCACTCCCTCCATAACTTTCCGTGGCACTCAAACCTTATTCACTGAATCGAGAACTTTTCAAACAGGTGTGTCTGATTTTTATTGTGCAAAGCAATGATGATATGCCCACCAGTCTTCTCTGGCTATCTGTTTATACAGTTTTCAAGTTTGTTCAGGAAAAACTCATTTCCTTCCTGTGCCTCATTGTGTATTGGCTGTGTACTCAATATCTGCCTCCCCCAGCTCCCCCAGCACTCTGCAGACTCAATGCAAGTCTTGTCTGAAATTCTGCATAAAAATCCATCCAGAATATCCTCAGCTGCTTCCTGTCTCAGTTGGGGACACTAGACTACCGAATATCCTTGGCCCATTTTTTTCTTAATTCTTTGACCATTCCAAGTTGCAAGAGACTTCATCATGTTAAGCTAGCTGTCAGCCATTCATATTTCAGGGTGAATTGGTGAGTGTGATGTTTCAAGGCTACCAGTTGAGTGAGACAGACATTTCTGCAACCATGCATTGCTGGGACGGGTTGGACCAGCTAGGTGGTAGTGAAGGCTACCTGTCGCAACAGCATTCTGTATTTACATGGTGGTGGTTTCACTGACCTCTACTTTGCTCAGAGGAAACATTTCTACAGGTAGAAGAGTAGTTGGCGAGCTACTTGCAGTAGGGAAAGATTAAACCTCCCATCCAAAATACTTCCTCAAATTAAAACACTTGGTTTGTAAAAACGACTTCTGAGGGATCAATGACAGCAGAATGTCCAGAGTACCATTACCCTTCTCTAAGTAGATTATGAATAAATGATTTAAAATAATTGCTTTAGATATGAGAAAAAGTAAATGTAGTAAGAGTACCCCACATCTCCATTCAGCCTTGCTATCTAAGGCTTCTGCTCAAGGGATTAAACAGATAAAAGAGAGATAAAAGGTTTATGAATGAGATGGTAAAGAGGGAAGAAGTGATTTGCCCAAGATGAGCATCAGGAAAAAACACAATACTGAAGACAAGTGTCACCATCACATGTAGAAACAGCACAGTTCCAGTATCAAACCAGTGTACAGCCTGAAGCAAAGGAATCTCATGGACTCCTCATGAGTCTGCTGTTTAAAGAGGATGCAGAGGATGAAGCCAGATTTCATGAGAGCCATATCCATACCAAAGACAGAACCCATCTTAGTCCAAGGCTGGTAGAAGCTTCTGGACCAAGAGGAAGTCAAACCAAGATGGAAGGGAGAAACACATGAAAGACAGAAAACAACTGTCAGGGGCCATCGACAGGGATGGGCACTCTGCTATGTCCTCTGAGGGTAGAACTTCTCAGAAGTCTGCAGAAGTTGATTCAGAGGCAATTCTCAGTCAGTTATTTCTGAAAGCCACCCCCAGGCAGAGAAGCCAGCTCATTTTCCCCTGCCAAGACTTGTCACATGTGCATGGTGGACCTCTCAGGAGAACATGGCTTATGTAGATTCACTTCCTCTCCCACACGCTTACAAACATCTCTTGCAAATTCTGATAGTCTAGAATCGCAGAAGTTACCAAACAGGAAAGCAGCCAGGCAGCCCCATGGATCTCTGGCAATTCAGACCAAGGTAAACGCACCAGGCTGGAGGGAGCTACCTGGATCAACTTGCCTCTCTCTTGCCCGCAGTCCCCATGCATTTGTGAGCGGCTTATTTTAAGAGCTGATTAGATGAGCCCTTAATAACATTAGAACGTAAATGGCCCCAGATAGGCTTTCAGCCTCTTGCCAAATTGAGACAAATGTGATATTTGGGGAACTGAGCTCCCAGCTTTGTTACTGCTCTGGACTGCAGACAGGTTCTGAAGCATTTTGGCTTCTCCCCTGGTTGACTGCAGCCTGAAAGTGGGTTTGTTTGGTTCTATCAAGGCCCTTTCATCTCTAAGGGGCTAAAATTCTATGCTGATGGTTTTGATGCATTTTCAAGGGAAGTTAGATTGAGGATGAGCAACCTGGATTTTGATTACCTACTGGCAAACCCCTCAGTACCTCCATCTCTTCCAGGAACTTTGAGTTCAGTAAACAACCTTTTTTTGAACGACTACGACTTTAAGTGATTTAATCCAACATTAATGTCAGCAATCCCAGAGTTTGGGTGGGAACAACAGAAAATGAGACACATGGCTTTTTGTTGCTTAAGTATATTTAGTACCCTCTCTAACACATGGGTGAATTCATTTCCAGGAAAGACAGACACATTGATCAAATAAAGAGGGATAGTTTTCCAATTTAATACTCTTCTGTAATTTGAGGGAAAAGGCTAAAAACAGAATTGGAAAAGAGGAGGAAAAAAGTGAACATAAAGGAATGGCCCTGGTGTTGAGGTACGTGTATGACAAACAGACAAAACTGATAGACTTGTCTCCACTCCTGTCTAGTCTCACACCAGATTAACATCCCCAGAACACTTGAAACTCCTAACTCATGCTTTGTTCTGTTGGGTGTAGAAAGTTGTTCAAGATGGTCCCTGAGTTTAAGCTTTCTTGAAAACCCATAGGTTTAGCTCTTTCAACTTTCCAGAGGAAACTAAATTTTCAGCTCACCCATGCATGGGGGTAATGAACTCCCTCAGGGCAACCAAGGAACCCCAGGAGCAACCTAGCAGAAGAAGAGAAAACTGAGACCTAGGCAGTATGAGGGACCAACCAGTCCTCCCATTCTGGCTCCACAAGTTCCCAGTTGACTCCAGCCTCCACTCACAGACGCTCGGGTGGTTTCGGGTGCATTTAAACTGTGACCAGAATCAGACACCACAGTTTAATAGGCATGGCTTGCTTTAGCTGCAGGGATCGCAGAAGCTCTGCTGAGTTCAGCCCTAGGATGAGGTTTGATTCTATCTCAAACTCCAGTCAGTAAGGGCTCAAAGGCTGTTTGATGTGGAGGACTATAGAAGGAATGTCAGAGGTCTCAACCCCTGTGCTTAACCCCACACCTTGAGAAGTTAAGCATTTGCCCAATTGCAATGTATTTTCATGGAGAGGATACTGCCCGAAAGGTCACTTCTCATTACTGTACATTGCTAGTGTTATATTTGTGGTTTTCTCTCAACAATTATGGCTGTGAAAAACTCAGTGCTATTAGGTGCATGTGTTTGCCTGCCAGCTGTCTTCCTTGCTAAGCCTTAGGCTCTATACAAAAGGTTCTGATTTCTTTCATCCTCTCCTCCGTACCTTGCTTTGTACTATGTCTGTGTATACAGAGAAAGCAGCCTTCCTCTTTGTCAAGGCTCACTCTTCTCCTAAACCCTCAGTGCCTGCATAAGTCTGATCCTCCAAAGTCTGATCCATCCACCATTCTATTCCAATATCTCTTTTCTTATTTACATTTTACTTTGTATAAGTTTTTCTTCCTCTGCTTAGAGAAGGCTTGTTCCCATTTGAACAAATAAAAGCAGCTTTCTCTTGCTCCCTTCAACTCTGGAAAGAGGCTCTACATTTGCATATCACATGACTCATCTTTAATCCTATGGACAGAAGGGGTGGTGGCCTACTCTCCCACGCACTGAATCTAATGTGAGTTGACAAAAGAAATTTAGCAAATAGTCCGTGCTGTGACCACTGTGGATTCAGACCACAAGCAGGGACACTGTAGGGAAAGCCAGGATGTCCAGCCTCTGCCCCAGATTATAAAGGACTGGGGTAAGTAGAGAGATGGTGCTGAGTGTAGTAAGGAAGGTGAGTCGAAAATCACCGGCTGTGTCTTCTGCACAAGAGCCGAGGAAGTTGGAAAAGAGTTCTCCAGACACACGAGGGGAAAGGAGCAAAAGAAAGAACAACAGGTCCATCTAGGTAGAAGGAACAGTATGGGAAAAGCAAGCGAGGTCCCTGGGGTCCAGGTGACATGAAATGTAGTGGCCACTGTAGGCTCAATGAGGAGACAGTGTACTGAGGGTGCAGAGACTATGTGAAACTTGAACTCCTTGTCCATGGTAGGGGGGAATGGAAGGTTTAGAGCTAAGGCATAGCACAGTCAGATTGCCTTTAGAAAAATCATGGTGCAGCAGCCATGCAAGGGGACATGAAACAGAAAGCCTATCTAAGAGTTCAGACAGGAGGAGATGCGACCCGTATCCAGCACAGACTGCACAGGAGGAGATGGGACCTGTATCCAGCACAGACTGCACAGGAGGAGATGGGACCTGTATCCAGCACAGACTGCACAGGAGGAGATGGGACCTGTATCCGGCGCAGACTGCACACAGATGAGGGTTCCAGGTTAACCCTCTCCATAAACACACCTGAATTGGTGATGGCTCCTCTGCCCTAAAACCTCAGCGCGTGTGTTGTGCTGTTCTGATCAAGCTTACTCAACTTGCACTACATTTATTGTTCATTTCCGTAATGTTCCTGATCAAATCGTATCGTCG